TATAGAGAGTATGAAGAGCTCAGAACTGTATATGAGAACAAAAGGGAGGAAACTAGAACTGTCTAGGTTGAAAAACACCTTCAGGAAAATGGTAATTATAACAACAGCTAATATTGTTGATGCTCTGCTAAGAGCTTTGCATGTCATGTGCATTAAATAAGATAAAACCATCATGTGAAGTTAAGGTTGGGATTGAGCTCATTTTACACAAAGGAAAGCTGAGTCTTGGGTGGTCACTTACCCAAGGTCACAAAGTTGGGAAGAGATGGAGCTAAGGCTTGAACCCAGGTCTCTTTGGCTTCAATGTCCATATTCTTCATAGTCAAACTTTTTAAAGTTCTGACAATTTTGTCCCTCATATATTTCTGGAGTTTTGACTAAAGGTGGGCACCCAAACTATCTTATGAAGGGCTTTCATAGGGGTATAATTATGACCAGTGAGAAGGACAAGGTGAGATATATGGATACTTAAAGAGGAAGAAATTCTTCCTACAGCTGTGCCACTCAGACAAGAGTTCTCTGTCTGTGGATAGTTCGAGCCTAATTGGGAGGAGGAGGAAAGTCAGGATTCCATTATTATGTTTCTTTACTACCCAGAGTGTCTACGATTCCAAGATCCAGGAAAATGCAGTCCCATCAGGGAGTGCCGGGGGCAGAGGATCAAGTTGTAACTGCCACTATGGCCCAGAGCCCCGCGGGGACAGACAGGGGTTGCTAGTGCAAAACCCACTTACTTCCATTAGACTTGGGTCTCATGAGGGTGTCGTGGGGACTAGGTCCACAAGAAACTCTGGCCCAGTTTCCCCTTCAAGACCACTCCTCAGGCTCCCATAGACCTCTGCCAAGAGCAGTTGCAGAACAAACTGATGGGACTTGGAAGAGTCACAGTTGTGGGCCCATTTCAGCTTGTTTTTGCTAATTTACAGATGCCACTTGCTGTTCTTTGGGACCCCGTCTCCCCGGAGCCTTCTTAGCAGCCCAGGTGCAACAGAGGTAAAGATCATGGATGGAGACGGTAGAGAAATGCATGTCGCTGGGACTTAGGGGAAGGGTGGGGTGCGCCAAATATACCTTGCTTGTGTCAGGACAGGACCAAGAATTGTCGGAATAAATCTTACGAAGAGACAGAAAGGTGGGGTGTGTTGAGGACGTCGGGGGCTTCAGATCCATCAATAAACAGAGCAAAGCAAGAAAGGCTCTCAGATGTGAGCAGAGGTGGGAGACATAGATAGGGACAGGAACAGGGAATGTTTTGCATTTGGGTCCCAGATGAGATGCGTAAAGTCTCAGATTATGGGATACCAAGGATTAGCAATCACCTTTCTGGAAAGCGCAGCAGTCTGCCATAGCAATGAGTGAACTCGAACCCAAACTGCTGTACAGGCTGTGCCGCATTCTGCAGTGTGGGTCTTCCTACAGGCCGCTTTTTCCAGATGCATGGTAACAGTGACCCTGTGATTAAAGTTTGAGGACTCATCTGCAGGTCAGTGGCAAACTAAGAATTGGCTTGTGGGTTTTAGCCAATCCCCATCGGCCTTCCTGACACTCTAATGTGTCGAGGGATACACACATTTCATTTTTATTTTCACACATGGTTTCAAGAAGACACTAAGTGTAATCCTGCACTGCAGCTTCTGTCCCTAACCAGAGTGCCCTCAAGAAGCTCCTCCTACCTGACATTTGGGGCTGTGCATCACACAGATTATTAGGGGCTCAGGTCCCACTGGCTTCTCCTTTCTGGGTCATTATGAAAGAGAGACATGGGGGGCTTAGGCAAAAGATGGAGGTGCTGGTATCCAGGGCCTGTTGTCCTTAGCTCAACTTCTCTTATTCTAAAATCCTCTTCCTTTCTGCTTTCCCTCTTTTTCCCCAATCACTTCCTTAAAAGAAAACAAAGTCTTTGTCCCTTGGATGTCCCCAAGACACCAAGAACGTCCCTAACTCCACAATGAACAGTGTAGTAGGAAGATCTCTGTGGCTACTGTCCTGATAGGAAGATTCTTGAGAGGACAACATCTCATGCAGCCCCACCACAAGACTTCCCTTCCAGCTCCAGGAAGTTCCTATGATTATGTGACCATTTGGATTATTTCATCCCATTATTAGATGACCCTTTCCTTTCCTCACTGCCACTTAAATTCGTAAAGGTCACAAGTCAGTTCCTCTCTTGAAGGGCTAGCCATGGGGAGTTCAGCTGTGCCCCACGGGATAGTGGAGTGCTCCACCACCACCCCAGGGCACTTTTCTAGAGGCACTTTGTTCTGATTCTTTCGATCAGTAAGCATGCTTTTCCCCCAACACTGGTGTCACCTGTGGAGTTTGCTGCTGCTCCTGTCCTACATTCTGCCTATACTTCCCTAATGACATGGAACTGTAATTAGCCCTGAGGTTAGAACCAGTGCACAGGCCTGGGTTGATGAATCTCTTTAGTGTCTCCACTGCAGGAATAACTCTGGACCCAAGAACTGTCTCAGAGCTTCTTGTGTCCTGGTTTTTTGAGGAAAGTCCTGGTTCCCTTCTGTCCCTACATCCCATCTGGTCAGTGACATCCTCACTCTCAGTAGGATCCCAATTGGTAAAATAAATGATATGACTGTTCTACACATAACCCATTGGTGTCACGTTTACCCTGAGGGAGAATGGAGAGGAGGCCTGGAATTGTTCCAGAAGAATATACTTAAATTCTAGATAAAGAGGTGGAGGCAGAAGAGACAACTTTCCCAGGGCTGTGAGTTGAGTGCTGGGAGCCGTGATGTTTGGGAGAGACAAGGAAAGGGCAGTAAAGACTTGAGGACTTTCCTGGGTCACTTGGGGTGTTGAGCAGGGACTAGATGGGATTTTGACTCTCACCATCTCTGTTACCCTGGACTGAGAGGGTGAAATGCAACTGGACTTTATCCTCTGGAGAAGATTCCTTCGTTTGTTCTTCACTTTGACCTGCTGGCAAATTCTGGGTTACCTGAGCAGCAACTCTGCCACACACTACCACCTGCTAAGGCCTCTCCTTTCAGCATCCACAAGAGAACAACCACCAAACCCTCAGACCCCATTCTCTTCTGTGAGGGGCTACCCTCCCCCACCTCTGCCCTAGTCTAGCACTACAGCTGCTCAGCCCCTCACAGCTCTGCTTGGGCAAACCCCTGTCCTTCTACACCCCAGACCCCACAACACTCCATTTTCTCCAAAGCATTTGCTCATCCCCTCTTCTGCTTAACTTTGCATCTAATCCCTGAAAGGAATCTCCATAATATGCTTGCAGCTTCCCCATCTCCCCCCCACACCCAGGGAGGATGCAGGAGGCATCCTTTTGTGGATGCTGGTACAGGGCTAGAACCTGTTCCCTTTGCTGTTAAGCTGTTTTAGCTCCCATAGAAACAAATCAACACATAAACAGCGAAAGCAACAACCAGTTAAAAAAAGTACTACAGTTTGTGACATTAAAAGATAGTTTTGACTGATGGAAGTTACTAGAATGTAATTAGCTCCTTAGGCCAACGCTGGTGAAGGATCATCCTTTCGTGGCTTATGCAAGTTGCCTCCATGACACCTCTCACCTCCACTTCTTAGAAACTGTCACAGATGTGTAGTGTCCCTGCAGAACCATGCCCACCCAGAACCTCAGAATGTGACCTTAGTTGGAAATCTGTCTCTGCAGAAGTCATTGATTAAGCTCTCTAGATGAAGTCACTTGGGATTTAAGATGAGCTTTAAATACAATGACTCATGTCTTCATAAGAGAAAGGAGAGGGGGATTTAGAAGCAGAGATACAGGAGAGAGCCCTGTAAGACAGAGGGAGAGTGATGCTGACCGAAGCCTAGGAGAGGCCGGAGTCACCAGAAGAGAGAGAAGCAAGAAATGATCCTCCTGGGAGCTGTCAGGGAGCCCAACCCTGCTGATAACTTAATTTTGGATTTCCAGCTTCCAAATTGCAAAGAGAATAAATATATATTGTTCTAAACCAGCTTGTGACGCTCTGTTATGATACTTTGTCATGTACTTTCTTTCTGCAGCCCTAGGAAACTAAATATTGAGGAATTAAGGCAACTCCAGTGTGTATCTGTGGGTGCTGCCCTCCCTGGAGTTTGGGGGCAGCTGCTCCAGAATCACCATGACACCAGGAACAAGTACACCACCCTGGTTGCTAATTGGGAAAAGCTTCCAGAACAGCTGTCTTCAGAAGAACATGCCACAATGTCACCCCTTACCAGTTACTTGATCTGTGAACTATAGTTTCTATACCTGTAAAATGGGGAGATCCACACTTGCTTCCAATACTTACATGGGGCCATTTACTATTCTATGCCTTCTCTATCTGATCACATGCATACACTCCATAGTACAGTGTTTCATCTTCATGCAAAGTTCACCCCTGTAAGGTAAGTGTCTCCACCCTATAGGTGTCCCTAACACCATGTGCTTGGGGAAGTGAGATCTCCATCCATCAAGTGCAGGAGCAGATAGAAGAGAAGGGCTACTGCACGCAAATGGCCTCAGCCTCCTTGGTCCTTGCTTCTGGGCGATTACTCATCCCAGATTTCACAGAACAGTTTTATCAACTCCGTCTTCTCTAGGATTCCAGCCTAGATCTGCAGAGCAACACAAATCTTAAGTCCAAATCCTGAAACAAGATAAACTGGAGGTGTTAAGGACATACAGACAAAACCTAAAGGGGTAACGAAGGACATTTGATCTGGTCCGCTTGATCTCTGTCTTGTGCTGGGCAGGGTTATACTTCACCATGATCTTCCCTCTCTGTCCTTGACTTGCTGGTTTTCCAGAGTCCAGCCACTGCCTTTCAGACTAATCTCACACTGGGAACTAGGAAAGTCTGATACAGTCCACAACTTTTGGGGACCCTCATCATAATGTACAGGAGGAAAGAGTCTTAGCCAGAGGAGGCAAGATAGTCACTCTGCATGCCTTTGGACATGCTGCCTTTTGCAGGTCAGAATGGAGGTCAATGAAGGGCAGAATGCCAAAGAAATCCATGAGACACAACCAGGCCCCAAGTACCATTTTTATTGGTAAAAATTTGTTTCAGATTCAGGGCTATGAGCTCAATCTTCCCAGAAGCAGAGAGAAGGGTGAATATCTCAGTAGGAAGGTGATGAGAGGTGAACAGAGTAACTCTTTAGGTCCATAGGTTGGATTAGGAACAGGAGAATCAAGGTGAGGCTGGAGAACAGCTCAAGACACGGGATCAGACCTGGCCTCAGCAATTCTTCTTCTTCACCTGAGGAAGAGAGGACATTGTCAGGGCCCAGGGGCCACAAAGCAGTGGGAGTGGAGCAGAGCGGGCAGAAGCTGGGCCTGACTAGAGGAGGGCTCCTTGTTTCTCCCATCCCCCAGTGGCGTATTCTTAGTGAGTCTGCCTTTCCTCCTTGGCCTGCAGTCCCCTGCAGTCTCATTGGGATGACAGTGGATCAGGGCTGGAGCTGGCTCAGAGATCCCCTTGCATCCCATGCATACTTCACCCCCTCCCTCCACCCATCTGCTCCCTCACCCCTCTCCTTACCATGGCCATCAGCACCAGGGTGCTGACCAGCACAGCATACACAGTGGCCTTCCCCAGCAGGATCTCATAGAGGATGGTGGCAGACAGCACCCCTTGCTGATAGGTCACTGTTGGGGCAAAGACAGAGCAGGTAAGTCCCTGAGAGCACATGGTCTGGCCTGCCCCACACCCCACTGTCCAAGAGTTCTCTGTGTCCTGGGTCCAGAGACAAGACCAGGGAGATGAACAGAAAGGAAGCAGCTCACTCACCTGAGGTGACACCACAGTCTGAAAGAAAAGAGGGGAGAAAGATGGGTGAGAGACCTCATCTCCTTAAGCAGGTTGGAACTAAGTCAGCCTCAAGCCTGGTCCTGGCCAGTCCTCTCTGAGCCCTGGGACCATCTTTCTTCTCCTGGGACAAGGTCACCCATCATTCTTGAGTCCTATAATGAGTGGCAGCACCAAGGGGACAGAGGGGGTACCCAGGTGCTGAGCTCCATGGAGAAAGGGGCCCCTAGCTCTTAGGCTATTGGGCAGAGGATGGGGAGGAGTTAGCCCTAGGTGCCCAGCTCCCCTTCCTGATGGCCTTTAGTCCTCTTCTCCACCCCCAGCCCTGCATCTAGACTTTCTGACTGTACCCCATCTTTGTGCTCCCCTGGTGCAGCCCCATCTCCTCACAGCCTCCCCAGGCCCTACTCACCTGCTCGGCCCCAGACCTCAGCACTGACATTCTGGGTGATGGGTTTGGGCCCCTCCTCGGTCCACTCATCTTCCTCTGAGAGCCCATAGAACTGCACTTGGCAGCGGAAGTGGTTGCGAGGGTTGAGCCAGAAGGTGGCAGAGACCCTCAGGCGACTGCTCAGGAAGTATTTGGAGTCACTGGCGGCACTGGAGGGCTGAGGGTCCGTGCTGACCCCATTTTGCACCTCCTTTCCATTCACCCACCAGCTCAGCTCCACGTGGTCTGGGTAGAAGTCTGTGGCCAGGCACACGAGGGTGGCCTTTTTTTTCCTGTTGATCTCTGCTTCTGATGGCTCAAACACAGTGACCTTGGGTGGTGACACCTTCTTCAGGTCCTCTGGAAAGTGAAGGGGGGTTGGGAACAGGGCTGTTCTGAGATCACTCTGGGTCAGGTGGAGACTCTGTGTGTGCGTGTTTGACCCTCGAGATAATACAAAATTATGTTGTGGTCTATACTGTTTGCTTGGGGTCACTGTCCCCGTCTCTGTCGCTCTCCTTCTATCCTTATCTCATGTATAGGTACTGCTTACTGCACACCCCCATCTCCCTAAGGACGTGATTTTTTTTTTTTTTTTTTTTTGCTTTTGTTATTTCTCTTACTCTGGGACTTTTTTGCTGATCTTTCAAAAAAACTTATCAGTCTGTTTTTTTCCTAGTTCAGCATCATGCTCAGAACATGGATAATGATTTTCAGACTCAGAAGCAGTCAGTGTACCATTTAGTGAGCCTGGATTTTGAGGCAGAAAATTCCCATCAGCAGCATGATAGAAGGAATCAAATTTATTTTTTTCTAATTATCATTTTTCTTTTTTTAAAGTGTGGTATTAGTTTGTTTCAACAATACCACAGATTGGAATTAGCCTTTCTTGCCCATAAGACACACTTTCCTCATTGTGTTTATTTGTCAAGCGGGTGTGGTGGCTTGCCTAGAATGGCTATAATTCTATGAAAGACCTTGTGCATTATGAAAAATAGTCAAAGCCTGATTGCTGTTATAAACAAATCACCAGGTCGGTTGGCCATGTCAGCAAAAGGCTCACACTGGAAATCTCTGGGTACTTTCACACCCTTGGCAGATGAGAGGGAAGAATTTCTGGAATCATTGGAAGGCATTACCTCGTGTGATGCCTCATGAGGAACAGAAGGGACCATATCCACTGTGCATGCACCTGCTCTTTTGCCAGAGTTTGCTGCCCTGTTTGGCTCTGCTCTGACCATAGTACATAAATGTGCCATGCCAAGGTGACTCTGCTGTGTCTAAATTTGAGAAATGTTTGGGAAATTTGAGGCACAGGTTTGGAAAAAGACAAACACTATGATGATGCAGGGATGAAAATTAAAACAAATGCAAGTTGTCAAATCAGTTGAATCCTTTATAAAGGATTTTTACCCATTTTACATCTCTTAGAGAGCTAGAGTTGATTTAAGTCATCTTTCAAATGGAATGAACCATCATCATACCCTATGCTGGGACCCATTCCATTGAACCCAGGACTTGGAATTCAGTGATTAGCACTTTCAATTAAATTTTTTGGCTTGAGCCCCTACCTGCAGGGCACTGTCTTCCCAGGGACCCATCCTGGCATGACCTGGTATCCCATTATTTCAGTACTGTCTGTTTCCAGCCCATTCCCCTCACCCACCTGCTTCTTCCAAAGCATGGCAATGGCTCTGTTAGGGTTTCAGGAAGGCCCTTTACCCCAACATGTTGAGATCTGAGAAAATAGGGTCTCCAAACTAATTTTTTTTTTTTTGCCTTTATACTTAACCTGTTGCTGAGATGGGGTAAGTTTCCTGTTGTAACAGTCTATTGAGACTTCTCTCCCTGATACCCACCAAGCACAGCACACCCCAGAGACTCCCCTGCTGCTCCTGCAGTGCCATGACATGGACTATGTCCCCAGGCCTCAGGAGCAGCCCTTAAACCACGCTGGCCTCACCAGCCTGGGCCCTACTGCCTCCAGGGCAATTCAGCCACCCCAGAGAGATGAACGTGGCTCTTCTGAGACTGGCAGGGGCAGACAGGAGGAGAGTCAAGCAAGCCCACAGGTCTGTGCTGGAGGTTTATGTTGGGAAGGAGTTTAACGTAGGTGACAGAGCTAAGTAACCAAAAGGGGGTCAACAATGCAGAAATGGAGAAAGGAGAGGAAGGAAAGAATGGAGATGAGCAGATAAAAAAGAGAAAACGAAACAACACACCTAGTAGGGAGGTAGAGGTAAGGGAAGTCCCAGAGAGCAAACAGAAAGAGAGCAAACAGAAAGCCCGAAGGTGAAGGAAGAGGCTCTCAGGCTGGAAGCTGCGGCAGACACAGAACAGCAAGCGGCTGGGTCCTGGGAAGGTAGGAGAGGGCACCTGGCTGCAGGTGGGAAGGGGCAGCTCTGATATCTAAGCTTATGCCCAACACCCTTCCCAGATCACTGTGGTCAAACACAAGCACCCCTAGAAATGGAGCCCCCATACCTGTCACGGTGAGCCTGGTACCAGTCCCAAAGAAGAGAGGTGAAGTATTGGAGCACAGCTACAAGTGGCTGGGTAAAATCCTATTGGGGGTTCCAGCCAGAGGCAAGCCTTTGCTCCCCAGAACAGAGGGCCGGCCGCCTTTCTCTGCCTGCACTCAGGGCAGAAGTCCATTAGGAAGAATGCCTAAGCATACTATGCAGTGAGAGGAAAGGGAAGGACAGGAGGGACGGGTCAAAGAGGTTTAGGGGGAGCAGATCCACGCACGAGAAGGAAAGATGAGCAAAGAAAGTAGGGGCGGATCACAGACTGAAGACTCAGAGGACAGAAACAGAGGTGCCGACCCAGCCCCAACCACCCTGGCAAGTCAAGGAGTAAAGGAATCACCAAGTCCCCGTCTACCAGTGCTGGGAGAAGCGGAGACTGACTCTGAAGGACAGTGGCCCTACCACCCCAGACCTGCAGCTTACCTAGGACAGAGAGTCGAGTCCCCTCTCCAAAATGCTGTGCCTGGTTGTTACACAGTAAAACACAAGGGTGGAAAACCCCAGGGAGCTGCTGGAGTGGACTCCACCCTCCTACTGTCTCTCAGCCCAAACCCCGGCTGTGTCCTCAGTGCCTGTCCCCTCCAGAGTCCTCCTGGAACTCCGACGTAACAAGACCCTACTCCAAAGTAAACCTTTTACGTACCTAAGACAGACAGCTTGGTTCCGTTGCCGAAATAGAGTTTTTCGTTGGTTGCACAACCCGACAGCCTGGCAGAAAAACTGCCTCCTCCTCCTGCCGGCCATTCCCTCCCGCCAAGCCTACCACCTGCTCACCTCTCCCCGTCTGTGGAGAATTTTACGTCTGAAGTGGAGGGCAGGGCAGACAACCTTAAATGCCATGATTAGGGGACAAATGTGCCCTATGGGGTCCCCATCCTTCTCTCTGTGTCTGTCTCCTTTCTGTGTGAAGGAGACAAAGAGCAGGACCATGAAGATGGTAAGGGCAGAGACCCTGCCACCTATCATGGTCAGAACAGGCACCTTGAAGGAACAGGAGATGGACAAGGTGACTCCTTCCCAGCTAGTTCATCTGCCTCCCTAGTACAGTACCCACGAAATGTTGGATATGGATTCCCTCCATGTCTACATCCAGACACGAATTCAGATCTTCCCAATAAAAATACATTGTAACCCAGGCCCATGAAATAGAGGCTCCATCTGGTCCCCAGCCCTCCAACCCTGATTTACTTACCTACAACAGTGAGCCGGCTTCCCTCCCCAAAATAGACTGTGTTTCCAGAACACGGCCTCCAGGGTCCACTTCAAAACCTCCCATTGTCTGCTGAGCTCAGCTGGGATTCAGGGAGAGGCTGGGTGTTCATGGTCTCTTTCCTCACACAGAACACCCTGCTTCACACACTCCCATGCCCTTCCAGAGCCTGCCCAGGACCCTCGCAGGTGAGGAACAGAGACACAGCATGGCCTGCTCAAGTCTAGTGCCAGGAAAAACAGAAGCCCCTCCAGACCCACTCGCCAGCGAGGGAGATGGACTAGTGTGGCAGCTCCTTCATTACTGCCGGGTTCTCAGTTCCCCTACCTTTTTGTTTGCCTGTTGCCTTCCATCCCAGACTTAGCTCTGACTCCACCAAAAATCTACAGACCACCTGGATGGATTTACCCTCACGGGGAGCCTCCTCTGAACTCAGTCCCTGACACGAGAGGGCCTCTCCTTCATATTTTGACATTTCCCAGAACAGAGTCTACCCTCATCGAACAAGCCCAGAGAGCCTTACCTATGACCGTGAGCCTAGTTCCCGAGCCGAAGGTATAGTCATAGTTGGCACATCCAAATATAGCCACTCAAAAATGGACACTTGAGACCCACTTTTCCCACTAAGGGAGCTGAAAATTTATCCGAGAGATACCTTACCTACAACCGTGAGCCTCGTGCCTTCTCCAAAGAAGACTTCTGTGTTTGCACGGTGACGTGGGGCAAGGAGGAAAATACAGTCCAGGTGCAGAGAGAGGAAGCCCTGGGTAGGATCTGAAGGCCCTGGATGAGGAATGCCCTCTTCTGCTTTGTAGATTTTGTGTAGAAAGACATTTTCAATGCTTTACTCTTGGAACCACGGAACATGACAGGGAACTTCTGTCCCTTTCTGGAAGGATACCCATACAAAAGCTCCCTCTCTGAGGACCCATTAAAGGGACTCAGGTGTGCAGAGCAGGCCAGGGGTCCAGAACCTATGACAACTGCGTCTGTCAAGGGCTGGGTATCCCTGGTGTCCTCTTGAATCCTCTATAGAACCTCTGATGCACCTTTCCATGACCTGGGCTTGGCAAGAAGGGATCTCCCTGCATCCTTCACCTGTGGCGCCACTGAGGAATTCTTGTCTCTGGGTTCTTTCTGCACGGGAAGCTCCAGTTCTGATCTGGGCCTGACTTTGTCCATGACCTTGGCCTGGCATGTGGTCAGGTGTAAGGCAGAAGCATTCTGAACCCAACCACACCTGGGCCTGGGACCTAGGAGATGAACAGAAGGGCTGTGGATGTCGGGACAGGCAGAAAGGTTTTTGTAAAGGCTTCCCATAGAATTGAATCACTGTGGCCCCCCCTGTCCCCACAATGTTACAGCTTTATACAAAAACGGCTCCTCCCATGACCCCACCCCTCAGAGGCTGAAGAAACCACCAGAGCAGCTGCTTCTTTGAGGGGGTAGAGACAGGAGGGGCAGGGGCCATCACCCCCCATTGTGGGGAGATGGTGGGGCACAGACCAGGCTGGGGGCTCCCTTCTTACCCCACTTGGGGGCTGTGTGACTTATAGAAATGTTTGCTGAGGGGGCTGGTTTCCCTGGTATCCACCCCTTACCAAGCTGTCGTCACAGCAGGGAGCTACCCTGTCATGAAGTCCCAGAACCACCCCTCACCTCAGCCCCGCCCCAAGAACAGACCCCTCTGGACTCAGACTGTCTCTTTAGCAGATCCTGAGCCTTGCAGGTGGTCAGCTGGGTCCCGGAGTTCTGTGGAAAATTGACCACAAGCTACAGAGAGCAAGGACTGTTCTAGATACAGAAAACAATAGCTGTATTTCCAGGGACCAGTTTGGAATGAGAGGAGATCACAGGCAGCGTCAGCCATCCTGACCTTCACTGTTGGCCTCAGAAGCTCAGTTAGGTAAAGGGAGCAGGGGAAATCCTGTGGAGGCTGGTTGGAGAGCACCTACAAGGCCACTCCACGGTCACAGCCTTTGTGCTCTCTTCCCTGAAGGACGGAGACATTTTAAGTTCAGGCTGGTATCTTTTCCCCTCAGGTACAAGATGACTTTGAAATTTAACCTGCATTTGGGTGGCCTAGATACCTCTCCCCAGATGATACTTCCTTTTTTGCTATGACTTAAAATCCAGATGAAGGAAAAAGGCAAACGTGACTAAATAATAATGACACATTTGCACAGAAAAATAGAAAAAAAATCAAATAACGTGGGGGAGAGATTTGCAATTCACACCCTCTGTGCTATTTCCCCCAACATGTGATAAACTCCTAAAAATCAAGAAAATAATCCAACAGCCCTATAAAAAAGGGCAAACAGCAGATGGTTCAGAGGAAAAGAAATTGAAGTGGTACTTAACTATAGGGAAAAACTATCACAGCAATAATGTAAAGTAAAAATCCATTGAAATAATACTTTTCACCAATTAGACTGACAAAAAGAAATCCTGAAGGCCGTCCTTCCCAGGTAGCATTTGGTGAAATAAACACATTAACATGCTGTTGCTGGTAGGAATGCAAATGACACACCTCAAGTGAAGCAATTTGGAAGCAAAATCATTTGCCTTTTCATCCAAAAGTCCCACTAGGGGAATTTATATTGTAAACATTGCTGCATACAATTGAAGGCGGGAGAGATATTTGCACCGTTTAGAAAAGTAAAATATTGGGAAAAACTCAGAACAGGATGGGATCAATACACTGTGTGATGTTCCCACAATGGAATAGTATTAAATGCTAAAAAATTAATAAAATGCTTGGAAAGATCTTGAAGATAAATCATTAGCTGGAAAAGAGCAAGCTGCAGAACTGCATAGATGTATTCTACCATTTTGTCCAACAAAGGGGGGGAAATGAGAATTATACATTTGTTCAGTTGATTTTTTACAAAGAAACATGGGAAGGATACAAAAGAAACTGGTAAGAGTGAATACCTATGAAGGATGAATGGCGAGGGCAGGGACAGTGAAAATACAGGTTACATCTCTCGGTATTAACTTCATTGTGTTATTTCCATTTTGAGACTAGATAACTATACTATTTAAAATTAAACTTAAATTAATAAAATTTAAACAAGAAAGAGAAACAAAATATTACTTTGAATAGTATATGAAAATATCCTACTTAAAAAAGAAATGCTTACTTAGTTTACAAGGCCATTGTTTTTTTCCAAAGAGGATCATTTTATATAAGGAGCAAATTCATGGTCATGAATTCAGGGATCAGTGGAATTCCTAGTCCTGTAGGAAGCTTGTGAGAAATGCAGACTTCTAATGAATCCTTATGAGCTTGAGTTAAAATCTCTATGATTAGGTTTACCAACATATTTAAATTTAAAAAAAGGGAGAAAATTCTCCTGGGTATTTCTGTCACAGTGCCAAGCATGGGACCCATAGTTGGTTCCCTGATGGAAACTGGACAGGTGTACGCCCTGGAGAATATCAGAGTGCTAGCCAGGTGTGCCCTAAACTGGGTGCAGGGCCTGGGTCTTAGAATTTGGTAAGGAAAGTGGGAGACATCTGGTTATTTGCCTCATTAATAGTGGCAGATCTCACACCACCAACAGCCTGAATAAAAGGTCGATTGCTTCCATTGATTGCAAAGTAGTTAAGTTCCCTTATTTATTTTCTTTCTTCATTGAGGCATAGACTTTACTTTGATCTATTTTCAAGTAGATCTGTTTTCCTGTCTTATTCACCCCTTTTGCCTATCAATAATTTACCCACTAAGTTAGTTTCCCTTTAATCATCTGAGGACCTTAATCCCAACTAGTCTTATGATATCATAGTATCTGATGGAGCTTTTCTTAGTTTTGCTTCTTTGGACATTGGGCCCTAATGCACACACAACTCTTCTTTCTTTCTTCCTTCCTTCCTTCCTTCCTTCCTTCCTTCCTTCCTTCCTTTCTTTCTTTCTTTCTTTCTGCCAGGTAAAAGCAGCATACACTGGTCGATTTGAGGCCATGCATCTATTTGGGCAGCAGGAGGCAATCTTTCCTTATTTTTTAGAGCTCAGTACATGCAATCTGGGCTTGGCCACTTGAGGGGGTCAGAAGAATGTGCAGAGTGCTGTTGGGGACAGGAGAGGGACGCAGGATCTTTCTGAAGTTGTATATTGTGGGGCAAGGGGGAGAAACTGAGACACATACAAATAACATTTTTCTCATCTGTAATTCTTGAGAATGTTCAAACATGTTCATAGGTTTGTTTCAAACTCTTTCCCACGACCCACTGAATTTTTTGAGTTGAAGAGCTGAAAATTAAA